ATGACATGAAATTTTCAGCAAAATTATAATTCAGATACTCCTTTAATGATTGATTATTCTCATTAATTTTCGATCATTTTACATATTTTTCCATAGTATTACATTTGAATTTAACAGATCATTCTCTCACATAACAGACAAATTTTTGCGACATTATGATACATTTCTGAATGTATTTTTACAAAATCTAAATATGCATATTACCTTTGACATGTAAAATCACAGTCTACTTATGTAAATTTAATGATATTCTAGAAAGACAGTACAAAACTGTAAAATATACAGTAAGATACTTTGACATTACAATTTTTTGGAACAGTGTACCTACTCACGACTCCTCCACGGCCATTTCATGGCCCAAGTGCACTTCACTTTGTCTCAGCATCTCAACTCATCCCTCTTATGCGTTCTTTCTCTCTCTCTCAGACACATTTGCACCCTTGAAACATGATCTTGCAGAGCACCAGGTTTGTGATTTTTATGACTTAATTAGGGAAGCAGTGAGACGCGATCTGTTCAGATGTTTGTAAATTACTTAATGTGACTTTTACAGAGGCAGATGTAGATGAGGATGACTGGAGTTCTGTGATGTGGTGCAGACATTGATTACATAACACAGTACAACTGAACCACACCCATGTTCACCAGATCACAGTTCACTTAACTGCATCGTGGCACAGCACGGAATGATCACACTAGTCACACGTACTGGAGTGTGGGGGGGTCTAATGTGTTTGGGCACGGTATGAATCATCTAGTGTTCGTATACACTTGCAGTGAAGTTCTCAGGTATTCTGGATGCATTTAATTGAGAGGCCACAGGCTAGATAGACCACAGGCAGGTAGATGTCTACTATAAAGGGATGATCCCTCTTTCCAGGGAATTCTATGGAATTATTCAGCACTGGGATTCACAATATTTCAACAGAAAGAATGTCTCCTGCAGAGCAAGTTGTATTTCATGTTGTTTGTAATTGTATTGTTGTCAGTGAGTTTCTTCAAGACCATTTTAGACCGCTAACCATGAAATCAATGGCAGAAAAGTCAAATTATTTGAAAATGAAGTGTTTAGAGAATTTAAAAAGATTCTAACACTATCTCAAATAATTCTGAGACTCATAGTTTTTGTTCATTTAGAAAGTTTAAACAATCAAAAGTACCTTTAAAGTGATTAAGAGTGCTTCCTTAAGCTTCATGGCCACTGTGAAAGGATTTATTTCTTTGGTAGAAAATAGGTACAGCTACTGAAAATGCTGAAAGTGGGGTTTGTGAATTATTCAGAGTAATTTAGGACATTGTTTTCAAAGACAGAATCAGCTGCATGGTCTTTCATTTCTAATGAAATTTTAATTAATTCTTCAAAGCTGCAAGTCCCCTGCTTTTGTGTGGGAGATGTAGTGTGAATCCACTCCTTAAAAATGGCTGAACAGATGTAAGGAACGTTGCTATTTTGGTTTGTATCACTAAGGTGACTGGAGAACTCCAGTAATCTGCAGTGAAGTGCTGCGTATGGCTGCCTGTTCAGTCTAATGAACAGCAGTCCCTGCAGACACACCATGCGAGTTCTGCTCTTGATAGCAAAGACTTCTCCACACAGACCTTCAGCCTGAAAGACGACCGTGGGAGGCTGATTTCACTTCACCTCTCCATGCAAGCTGAAGAACACCACCGTGTATATGGGAGGACCACAGAAGAGGGCTGTAAGTGAAGTGGTTGGCACAGTTCACGCAGACTCCTCCAGCCATTTGTGTTGGCAGGACACTATGACAGCGTGACCCCCGTTTGCCTGAGAGAGCTCACAATGACGTGGAGGAATAACAAACAGCTACCTGCCTTGGCAACAGCACAGATGGATCTTAGCAACAGCTTACAGGGTCTAAGGAGTGTGTTCATGTACTAGTTGTCATATAGTAATGATATGTGCCATTTGTTTAGAACAAACTTTGACAAGGTGATTTACATTATCATTTTATTTGTCCTTTCCAACTGATGACTTTATATATATACATCCAACATCGATTCAGGAAACATCTATTTGTAAATCTGTGTGTATATAGCATGTTTCTTTATAGGTATAGCTGTAGGTAGAGCACAAGTCCTGCATTTAATTTCGCTTATAAATTGATTAAGTTTTATATTCAAAGTATTCTACAAAAGCAGTCAGTTGAAAATTAATGAGTTTGAGGGTAAATAAATAATTCACAGGAGGGCTTTTAGTGACCAACGTGGCTTCAGGTTTTGCTATAGGTTTTCAGTGTCATGGTGGTGGGATAGTTCCCACGGGGGCACACAGACAGGCTAACATATGAATGGCTGGGCAACTAAGCCTTGCAATTGCTGACCTTTTATAAAATTTGCAAGCAAACCTTTTTAGTAGTTTGAATGATTTTATATTTGCTGTTTGCTTGCTCTCATGTTAGTACTGCCAGGGTTGCCACAGGAGCAATACATTAAAGAAAGACATTAATTTAACACAAATACCAAACAACAGATACATCTTCTCTTGATGTAATGATGGGGCACTGATGCTGATAAGCCTGTTAAGTGACACAGTCAGCATTTCTGCCAGCCTTGCCTCCGGGCTTTAAATGGACTTTATTTATAGCACTTTTTCCAGTGCACTCATACAGTGCTTTATAATTCTATACATATTGTACAATGCTTTTTCTTATCATGCACACTCACGGGCTGCTGCTTTGGCTACAGCAGCTGTGTTGATTTCAGCTTTTATTATATGTTTTTACCTTCGGTGGATTTTTCATATGTTATAGTTTGTTTGTTTTTTCATTTAAATTCTGTGACTGCTGCCAGTCCATATTTGTCCCCTTTTTAATCTGAACATGATCATAGCTAGAAATCCTAGATTCGTGTGACCACTCCTGGCTTTGTTACACCAGAATAGAACAGCAACCTGTTTGCAGCTAGGAAAAATTGATGGTTGCCCAGTGATTACAATTAATTTCTTCACATTCAGGAACCAGCTACAAGTAGTTGCAGGGATTCCTTTCAGTCTCAAGGTGATTGTACACATCAGCTGGTGGGAGGCAACCTGTCTCCAAACTATCATGGGGCAACTTGAATGCAATCTCTCTTGGACAAAGACTGGCAAAGGTTTGCATATAATCTTGTGTAACTTATAAATGCAGACGGATTGCGAACACACATCAATCAATCTGAGTCCATCTGCGCCAATGAGTGCAATTTGTCTGCGACATGTCTTTTTGCAACAGAGGACTTAAGTCAACAGCTTGCCAACTGATTGTATAGTAGTGGTTGGTGCTGCTCTCCCAGAGCATTGGGTAGGATTGAGGTTAGGGTTAGCACACTGGGAAAGGAAACATCAGCAACCCAAAATCAGCATCCCCAGAATTAAGTCTTCCACTCCTCCTGCTGACTCTGACTTCAGAAGTTTAATGCGAACTTCGTCATAAGTAGATGGCAACAGATTGGTGATTTTTGCCCATTTATCACAGTTAATTGCCATATTATCACAGACAGATTGCATGTAATTGCCAGCTTGACCCCATTCAGTCACAAATCTGCTCTCAGTCTGCCATCAGACTGACTCCGCCTTATTGCTGTTTTATTGCTGTCTGGACGCACCAGAGTCGCTTTGAAACAATTGACTGTGAGAGGTGACTTGTTCATTGCAGTCGCCAACAATTTTCTTTTCCAGTGTGACTGTAGCATATAAAAAAGTTTAAAAGATGGATAATGGAAACAAGTTATCCTTAGACGACAAAAACTTTAACTCCTCAATGTATTTCTCTGAAACAATACTCTGAAGAAATGCAAAAATAAGCTTAATATTCTGGGGTGCCTGGAGTTTAGGAGTGAGTTGGTCTTTTAAGCTATTCAAGCTATTTCTGTCTGATCTTGCAGTGACTTGAGTCAGAGCGACACGGCAGACCTCAACTGGTCAGAGCTTAGAGTCTTTCACAAGTAGGGATGGGCCAGCAACCAGCTACCCAAAGCAAAATGTAGAATCTATTCTTGCGCATAAATTCGTGTGTATGCTAGTGGCTGGTCTGTGACTGTGGACCTTTCAGTTGGAACAGTATGGGCTGCCTGTTCTCTGGATTCTTTCTTTTGCCATGCAAGCCAGAGAGCTCTCTGCTCCTATTAGTCAACGTCACAAAACAAATTGTGGAGATTGTCATAGGAGGTCGAGAGAAGTTAAAAATATCAGTTCTGGCGGGCTTGTCTTTTTGTTAGAATGTCACAAGGTGTCTAAGACGTGGCTTCGGTGGTTGTTGCTACATGGGATAAAATGTATCCCAGGGCCCTATGCTTATTTTTGGACCCACTGCTCTACATCTTCTCAGCTTCCACTGTGTAGTCTGAACTTGGCATTAGCATCTGCATTATGTGTGCACTTTTTTATCTCGGCTTGAGAACATGTGATGCATATTTGGGAAGCCCCAGACAAATGCTGAGTCACTTTTACTGTCAGGGCAAGAGATTAATCCTTCACACTAAACTGACAGACACATCGCATCTTTTATTTCCCCTCTGTGAGCCGCTGACCTCTGAGAAACACCCTAGCTGCTTCGTACAACAAGAAATACAGCGTTCTAAGAGGTCTTTAACTTCAAGTTCAATCAGCAGTAACCTGTAAATCCTGCTTTATAGTTTCTGATTCAATCGATGGTTTTACTTTTACTATTGCATCTGCTGTGTCACACTAGCATTTTTTCTTTTTCATGATACATTGATATGGTGGTCCCTGAATATGCTTTGGTTAAGACAGTAATAATTTTCTGTTTTAAAAGAAAGCTAAAATGGTTGCTGATTACTGATAGGGACCTGTTTCTAAGCAGTCCTGCCCACCTTCTAGAGAATCACTCTGCTGTTTGCCTTAATGAACTGCAACAAAGAAAATACTATGCTTTCAAGATGCACAGATAAGAGGAAGTAAAAAAAACTAAAGCAAGAAAATTGGTGGAAAATTATGGTTATGGTTTTGCATGATAGTCCAGCAACTTTTCTGTAAAGCTCACCTGTGTTTGGCACAACCAGCCTCCCTCCATGGTGACCAAACACACCGGTGGTCCTCAGCGGCTCTTTGCAGGAGCTGAAGGGCCCATTGAGGGTAAGCAGGCCCTTCTTCCTTCTGTCCATGGTGCTGCAATAGTCCCGGCTCAGATCTCGCGGGAAGGTCTCGGCTGGGGCTTTGGCGTGGAACTCCGCCCTCTCGGCCACACCTAGTGAAACCATAAAGGAGCTCTGAACTTTGACCTTGATGTCTGGCAGGGGGTCAAAGAGCTCTTTATCTGTGCTGTCCTGGAAGCAGAGGGGAGTGCTGTATGTCCGGCCCACTGTTAAGTCTGGCTGCATGGAGGAGTTGAGAAGCAACGGGTTTCCTACAGAGATGGAAAGACAGCACACAAGTCACCTAGAAGCCCTGCTCACAAGGGACCTGTATTAGGCAGGGAACTCATTTAACTAATGAATCAAAGCCCTACCTAAACAGCACTCACATGGGATAATGAAATTCACTGTTGTCCCAGATACAACTAAAAAAGGTCAAGATTGTATGATTCTGGTATTTTTTTAATGCCTTGATTTAGGAAAGCAAAAAAAAAAAAAAAAAAGAAGAAGAAGAAATTCAAAGATGTTTAAAAGCTGGAAAACATCTTACTTTGCATGGATTAAATATTATCCAGGCTCTCTGTCTGCAGCACAGTGCAGCAGATTACATTCAACTGAGTTGTCATTTCACCAAAAAAAAAGAACAATATATTAAAATCAGCGTTAATATTTAAAATTAATACAAATATCTGGATGTCCCCAGATAGCACTGATCCAGGTCAGTTCAGGTTTAAAGGCCACATCGCTTGAAAATTCTTGCAGCTGACCAATGAAATTCCAGCAGCAATTAAAACAACATGCCCAGGCAGGCAGCCGCTACATCAGAGGTAAGGGAGCACAACCTGGACAGAAGGTCCAGGGCTCTGAGCCACGGTCAGAGCGTTAGATTTAATTACCAAGCACACCCACAGCTTGATCTCCATAATCCATCTGCTGGAGTCAGCTCCTCTGGACACCCAGTTGTCCTCCTGAAGGACAGGAGGGAGGGCCACGAGGATCTATGTGACCGCTCTGTAAATGAGGGGAGTCCTTCATCTCCCAGCATGAACCCAGCAGCAGCCTACTGAGGGAGGTGAGAGGGAGGCGTCTTCATCTGTGACCATTAGATTTGACGACGCTGCCAAACAGAGCAAGGAGCACGCCGCATCGATTTGGCAGACGTGCCGTGCCCCTCGATGAGCCAGCCAAGATAACAGTGAAGTCATTGAGTCCTTGCTGCCCAGCTGTTGCCAGGCGAGGGGTGCAAAGCAGGAGGCTAATGTTGTTTTATTTTTAGGGAAGTCATTAATTACCTGGTATGTGATTTGTGATGAGCATCTTGGAGTGTGTGTTGCTTTTTCACTTATTCTTTCAAAACTTTATCCCTTATTTTTTCCTTTCACAGTTAAAAGGTTGCTGGTTTAATTCCAGGAGAACATATAAATCCCTTTTAAGATGATGGCAGGAAGGGTAACCCGAATACCCTGTACCCTGAGCAAAGATGTGTTCACTTGAAAAATTACCACTGTTTTTGTGAAACGTGGTCAGTTCTGTTAGTGTTAGAATATGTTAGTGAATCAGTTTCTGTATCAACAGCTTGTGGTTGCTACACCTATGTGCATACTGCCATGTCTCTATTTGTCTTTATAAGGAAACAGGTTGTTGTTAAAGAGAAGCCTGCACTGCTAAGGGGGGAAACAACAAACAAAAATCAAAAAGCAGGAGAAAGTCAGCTGAAAAAACTGAAACAATGAAGTCCAAAAAGAGAGCCAGAAAGCGAGTGTAGGACTGACATAACAAAAAAACAAGAAAAACAAAACAAAAAACACCATCAACCATTTTTTCCATCTAAAATTTGGCATTTCCATTACCAAAAAACAAGGTCTAATGGGTTGTCTGCACTGTTGGTTTGTTATGTTTTGTTAAATACAAGAAAATGATAGTTTTCTCTCGACAGTTTGAGTATGGTGTCATACTCTCCTCACCATGTGGCAAAAGCATGAACCATGTTCATGAAGTAAATATTACAAAACTATATCAAAATAATATATTGTTACAAAATCCTCAGCAGCTCTTTGAGTGCTCAGATAGAGTAGAAAAGCGCTATATAAGAACCAGTACATTTACCATTTACAGTTCTGCTCACAGCACAGCAGTGTGCCTCTGTGTACCATGTGGAAACCACTGCAGTATACTGTATTAATATCATTGCAGATTTAACATACTTTATCATTCACCACTCTAGTGCCTGCATTCCAGATGACAAAGCACCAGCACATATGATGCAGGTAACATTACCTGGTAATTGCCACTAAAGATGATGTTCTCAAAGAAATTGATAAAAAAAAAAAAGACGCATTTTTCATTTCAAGTGAACCCACAGGCAGCTCTGCTGATATTCTGGCTCTTGGTCAGAGCCGCACTCTGGTGGACATTACCCCTCTGCAGCTGACATTCGATCACTGCTAAATTTTCTCCCCTCCGGTCGAGTGTAGAATGATCTGATTATCGCTTGAGTGTGCATCTTTAAGAATGGCGCAGTGAAAATGGAATGGCAGTGGTGAGATGAGAGAAGTTAATGAAATGTACCTCAGGTTGAATACCTTGAGGGATAGGTTTGGAATTGGGCTTCTGATTAAAAATCACTCAGAAGGAGAAGTAATGCACAGAGACAGGGTCAGGTCCAAAGACTCATTCTGCACTCTGATAGAAGAGAGCCATCCGAAAGCATTTAAGAACTTCTTTAAAAAAATTTCTTGCTAGTAATTATTGGGCATGAAAATGCTATTAAGATACAATTAAACAAAAACTTTGTAAGGTCTTTCCATCCTCAAGGAAGCATTTAATTTCTTGCCATGTTTATAAAAAGGATTGTAAAACTTTAACAAGCAGGCCTGTATAAAATGCCTCAACAACTTCCTTCAAAACAAACTGCGGGAAAGAGATGTGGAAGAAGGTGTTCTACATTTCAATAGAAAATGGAAAGGAGTGATTGTGGCTGGTCGAGGGCACAGCAGGCAGGCTGTAAGGAGAACTGGCCTATTTAAATAGGATTAATGACCTGCTGAATGTAGACCTGGTATTTGTCTCGCACCTTTCCAATGCCATGACAACGGGTGGGGCTAGACCGGCTCCCTAGGCCTTGGAGGTGCTGTGGGGTAGAGTGTAGGCCCCTAATGGGACTCTTCACGGATGCACTGAGGATGAATCACCTGTCAGCGCCATGGCTATCACATGCACTAACCCAGAAGTGTTAGGAACGGTCATGCGGATGCCTGTAGCGAGGCTGTCTGAGATGGCCACAGTCGTCAACAAAAGTTACCGCTGCACCCAACAGAAATTGAATTGATGTTCACTGTTCCATACCCATCAGTGGCTTAGGCCAGTGTAATCTAATGGAGAATATTGGTTGCCTGACATTCAAATGTGTGGTCTGCAGGGAGGAGGGGTGGTAGCATAGGTGTCTATCAGAGATTGATTATCTACCACTTCACAATAACAGACGAGCAGGTCTGTCAAAATAGAAGGACTAGTTCTTTCGCTGATTATGGAGGGATAAATCCTAAGCAGATAGGGAGGCTGCACACATTCTGCTTGATGCAAACAAATGCCATCAATCATCTGGTGGCCCTGTCAGAAAGGTCTGTGATGATGCTGCTGTTTGGCCTTGTGGTCGCTGTCTCGTGTCAACATGCAGTCGAAGGCACTCTCTTACCTTGTCTGGTGTTCTTGAAGTTGAAAGACTGGAAACCCCCGGTGAGCGCAGAGGAGTCAATAACGTCCACGCCGTACTCGCTGTGATTTTTCCTGTACAGCATGACAGCCACCACAAGGATTGCAACGGTGATTATGCCGGCTCCAAGGCCTGAGTACAGAGCCACATCATTGGAGCTCTCCATACCTGAGACACAAGACACACAAAAAATGGCTACCTTCAATTCTCTTATTCCTCAAGAAGCACTTCAAGTAATGGCCTAAGGGAATAGGACAAAATAATGGCCAGGCAATCAATGTCCATTTATGTTGCTCAAATTCAACATAATCAGTGCTTTAATTCATTGTTTAGGTACTCTAAACAATGTTTAAAAAGAGCAATACCACTGTGACTGTGGGTCAAGGCTACATTAGATACTGTCCAACACATAACTGAAACAATCTCAAACTCAGTTGTGGGCAGCATATTGTGGGTTCAAAAGATGAGAAATGCTTGGAATACAATGTTCTGCTGCAATAATCTGACACTTTTCCTAGGTCAACAAAATTCAACATTTATGGCCAAGCTTCAGTCTAATGGAACTGGAGCTCAGCGTCAGCTATAAAAGTAAACAAATGGAGAAAAATGGAGAAACTACTTGGTAGTGACAAGTTTAGCAAGAAAATAAGGTTAGGTTAACCGGCTAGCTGCATTGCTGAGTGTTGATGATTTTGTCAACGAATTTACCCAAACCTCCAAACCTAATCTATGTAACTCACTGTAGCTATCCAAATTGAATACTTTATCAACTAACATTAGGAACTGACAATAACCAGACTCTCACAGCTAGCTAGTATTTAGCTACCAGCTGTAGATAGCTTGAATTTTCACAAAATCGTATCTGTAATATAATCATTTAATAGTGTTAAACAAAAATAAGACTAGCATTTAGATTCTGCAAACTATTTTTGCGCTATTATACTGATACTGAGGGATACAATATGTGCAATGTTCTTCAAGTTGTTGTAGACTTACATTGCACAAGTACACCATGATAGTGTAGATCAGCACCATCTAATATACGTCTTATCACTCTCACTCTTTTATCCGATGTTAGCTTGCAGTGTAGTGCCACAAGCAAGGAACAACAGCTCACTTAACAATTAATACCAAGGTTACCCACAGCTCCTTTAAGACTGTAATGTAAATAATTTTATCAGCCACATTTTATTAATTTGCAGGATATAATTTCAGTTTTAATATTATTTTTCTGTAAATGAATCACTTTACCTAAACAGAAAGAAGCTGACCCAGTGAAAGACTTTTTCCTTAATGTTGTGTAGAAAAGAACATCGCCTTAGTTGTGATAATAAAGACCCACAGAGAGTGAAGATGAGATGGAGAAAAACAGTGGAGAAAATGATGTTATTATCTGGACATACAAGAGCCAACTCAAGCAAATTTTGGGTTAGTATGAAAATAAAGCAAGAAGGAGGAAATGAGGTATGACATCCAATATTCACATGGCAGCTAGAGAAGCTACAGTGCTACAGTCAAGTTGATATCAAAAGATATCTACTTGACTGTAGCACTTTAATAGCACTGTAGGTTTTCTTACTCCATCCATAATTTTACTTAAAATATACTTACTATACTAGTAAGTGTCTTACTAGAAATACAATTTCATTATTTATTTATTTATTTATTTATTTATTTATTTATTTATTTATTTATTTATTTATTTATGTATTTAAATTGTTTTGGAGTCGTTAAAAATAACTCACAATTGTCCTCAGATTTTTCAGATTGTCACTACAAGGCTCCTGTTTGAAACTGCTTGGGCTACATGCATCTTGCTTTAGTAATGCTTTACCACTTTGACCCTGATTGTTTTTAATGTTTGATTACAAGTGCCTCTGCATCATATTAAAAGTTTAGTTTAACAAATCTAATTTTACTTTGAAAAAGTACCATCAAGTCATCCATTATCTAGAAAATGTGATAAATAAATACTTATATCAACTTCATACTTTACATTCATCATTTTATATTTAGCCAAATGAATCACAATCAAACAAAGAGTGTAGGGTTGAGAAATCAAAGGTTACCACACACACACACACACACACACACACACACACACACACACACCGTTTGTTTACACTATCAGAACAAGACAGTGATAGAAGTGGCGGAAATTAGCAAAATGGTGAGGAGTTCAGTCATTTGGGAGGGGCTCAGAGTAGAGCCGCTACTCACACATTGAAAGGAAACAGCTAAGGCTGTTGCCTTCTGGGTAAAGTTTTCCAACTGGGCATATCTTACTGGGAGGAGGCCTCGGTGTAGACCTGGGACCCGCTGGAGAGATTACATCTATCAGCTAGCCTGGGAAAACATTTTCCTTTGAAAAGCTGAAGTAGGTGGTGAGAGGGAGGTCTGAGCTTCCCTGCTGCTGCCCCCATGACTTCAGATAAGTGGAAGAAGATGAATGATTTTTTTTTTTAAATTTTAGATTTAAATTTTTATTTTGGTGGTTGTCATGAATTTTCAAACAGCCTACATCACTCATAATGCACGACACACTTTTCAGTGTACTTTATTCGTTTTTCGGATGTTAATTTGTCATATTTTAGTAATACATGAACTTCTTTTGTAGTAATATTTTTTCATATCATATTCAACCTCGCTTTATTTGAAGTGTTTTTCTTCCTCATTTTCTGGAGTATAACGTGCAATGTTGACAACGCGTGACGTGAGTTGTTGCACATTTAAGCACCATGATTCATTCTTGAAGAATGTGATTAATGGTTTAAAATGCCTTTGTTACTTTTGACATGTTCCTTTAACTTGTTCTGCAATGTAACTTAACATCTGAGTGTTTCTTAGTTTTAGACCAAGTTTGTCGACTGGAACATCCGTAACCACCACAGTCAATTTTCAACCAAACAGTCAAGATGTTATTGAAGTGCAGACTTTTACTTTTAATTTAACAAAAGTATTACACATTAACTGTTAACAATAACAGCCATTTTCAGAGACTCTGTGTAATTGGAATGAAACATATGGAGCTGATCCCAGTTGCTGAAGCTATTCACTGTAACTCTCAATATGAGGTCCTAATAGATATCAGTACATTCGAAGGAGGCCATCATTACATTGCAAAACAAAACAGCGCCATCGGAGCGATAGAAAAAACTTTAAACTGACCAAATAAAAAATCTGGTACATTCCTAAAAAGAATGGATGCAACAACACTAAAAGCCCCAAAGGACCACAGACAACAACTGCAGTGGCCGTTCACAGAGTTCCTTCTTTCGTTAACAACAGTTTCTTCAGAGCATCTAACCAAGTAAAGAGGTAGGATTGTCAAAAGCATATCAAAAGTTGGCTACATGAAGAAAAATATTTGAAGAGATGAAACTAAGATTATCTTGTATCACAATCATGGTAAGAGGACAACATGAAGAAGGAAAGGAGCAGTTTATCACAAACTATTAAATATAGTGGAGGCATGAACGAATGGGCATGTATGACTGCCAGTGGAACACAGCCATTAGTGTTTATTGATAATGTGATTGCTGATAGACGCAGCATGAATTCTTAAAGGTACAGGGCTATATTCTCTGCTCACGTTCAACCAAATGCTGCTAAAGTAGTCAGACAGCACTCCACAGTACAAATGGACAATGATCCCAAACATACGGCAAAAGCAACCCAAGTTACATGTCAGTTACTTGATTGTAACCCAATAGAGCATGGCTTTCAGTTACTAAAGAAAAAACTAAGAGAGAGAAACCCACAAACAAGCAGCAACTGAAATAACTGCCAGGAGAAAACCATATTTAGTGATATTCATTGGTCTTAGACTAAAGGAAGGCATTGACTGCAAGAGATTTTTTATAAAGATTAAAAACAAATCTTTATATTTCAAGTCATGCTTGTTTGTCAAATTGCTTTTGAGACTCTGAGAATGGGGAACTATGTGTAAATACGGTGGTAATTACTAAATAGTTTATGTAAAATTTTTCTTAAAGTTTTGTTAAACTTGAGCTGGAATTTTGTACTTGAACTCTATCTTTATCTTAGTCTTGACCTTAACTTAGTCTGGTTTAAAAACCACCAGGGTGTAGCATATTGGAATTAAACAGAAAGAAAATGTCAGTCAAATACTTACAAACCTAAATTTTGTGACTTTGTGAGAATATGGTGAGAGGAGTAGACCATAATGTTAAACTGTGGCATATTACACTAAAGCTAGCAGTGTTGGTCAAGTTACTTGAAAAAAGTAATCAGTAACTAATTACTGATTACTTCCCCAAAAAAGTAATCCGGTTACTTTACTGATTACTTATTTTCAAAAGTAATTAATTACTTAGTTACTTTTTAAAAACACGATTTACAACCTGAAGAGGTGATAAAGCGATAGATCTTTCAGCCCAATTCTACTTTTTCTACATAATCCATCATACAAAATGTAATCAAATGGAAAAGTCTCTTTTTTTAACTTGTTTTATCAGTTTTAATCTTAACTTTATGCATCAAGCAAAAATTTTATTATATGCAACATTCTCTGACTTGAATAAATTAGTTTAACATTTAAACCTATTTTCTGCACATTCCAGCACATAAAATAAAATATTTTTTGTGTTTACACTCACTCTTTCAAATAGATGCAAGTAAAACACAGCAAAAAATAAATAAAGTCAAAGACTCAGCAGTCCTGCTGCTCTATTTTCACCTGTAAAGCAGGACTGGGGTAGGCGGAGGTTTACCCTGGTGCAGGTGTGCCGCAGCGGTCAGTGGAAGAATCCGCGAGTTTCTCTGTGAGTTTCCCATTATGTCGTAGCGCACTCGGTGCTTGCTTGGAAGTTTAGGGGTTTTTTTCGCTGTAAAAAGTTTTCTTCCCACGCACAACGGACGCTAATGTTTTTGTCACTTTTTATGGAATCAAACTCAAAATAAGGTCAGTGCTTCCACGCTTTAAACGCTGCACGCTCATACTCTCTCCCACAATCGATATATGATCCCTTGTTGATCTGCACACAGCTGTTGTCACCAACGTCGCACTCGCTTATGTCACTGTCATGAGACATTCTCGCAAAAAAATCACGATTTTAGTAACGCAGTAACGCAGCGTTCCTACGGGAAAGTAACGGTAATCTAATTACCGATTTTGCAATAGTAATCCCTTACTTTACTTGTTACTTGAAAAAAGTAATCAGATTACAGTAACGCGTTACAAGTAACGCGTTACTGCCCATCTCTGAAAGCTAGTAACAGTGAGAGTGATTAGCCTTGCTGTCTTTAGACCTACTGGTCTATGTCCAATAGCTGTGATGGATATCTCACAGGAAAGGCAATCAGACCCCATACAGTGATTGCTTGCCACATATAAGCTTTATGCAATCCCCATTCAATCATTTAAGCTTTTGTAGTAGGCACAACTTTCATGTTGAAGTGGCAACCTAATGGAGCTACAATAACACCTGACAATCATTTACTTGGACTAACTCTGGCAAGTGATTGAAAGCCACCACAGGAATGCAAGGACAGCGCTGTAAATTGCTCAAATTAGCTCATTTGCAATGATTACAACTCATTAATCCTCCACAACATAGCACATGTTCACTTGTCACAACCAATATATCTCATGGCTCAAAGTAGAAACACAGCTGTGATGTCACGGTTGTCATAAAAGTTCAGCACTGAATAATGACATGAATTTGTAATGAGCATTTGCTGGGTTAACACCAGAGCTGCTTAGATCAAGGTGAACTAAATACTGCAATTCATAATTTGTCCATTTCCAGAGTATATGAGAATGCAAAGGACTGTCACTCCTCTAGTTTGCCTATAGCATTTCTTGCGCTCAAAATTAAGGGCATATAACATATCAATGGCAGGGGAGTAGAAGATGAAAGAAATCCACAGTGGAAGACTCACTTTGAGGTTTAACGTCATGTAGCAGCTTTCGATCTGCAAAGACAGAGAGATAGAATGAGACAAAGAGGAGAGAAAGTGGTGATTAAAGTCTGAGCCTCTGTGAAGTGACTATCAAATGTGGTCTCAGATCCAACACCCTGAACAGAGGGAAGCTCTTCTACTGACTGTACTTACAAACGATATATTGGATCTCATAATGGCCTGGAAGGTTTTAATATAGTTATCAAAGGATCACAGATAAAGAAGGTGAGGTATAGATTGTATAAACTCATCTCTGAGTGAACTAATGATCTCTAATGTTTGAGGACTGAGTCGTACTTTTCTACCAGACTACACCGATCACCCATAACATTAAGACCACTGTCTAACTGTCTAAAATGATTATCTTATTGCATTGCAGTGTTCTGTTGCCTTCCCCAAACTGACAACAACATTCGTTTGGGGGATACAATGTACCAAATGCACGCTACACAAAAAAAACCTGCTCAGAATCCACCAAGAACACAAAAGGAGGCCTATTGTGAGCTTTTGCAGGATGCACTGGAGCAAGCCAGGTCCACTCAGGCCTCACTCCCACCAGACCCAAAGGAACTCACTGAATTCAGGTGTTACAATCGTTTCCATGGCTGCAGGTGTAAAACAAAATCAAGCACCAGGCATTCAGGCAGCTTCTACAAAAATTTTTAAAAGAATGGATCACTCTACAGAGTGGTACCATAATAGGATGTCACCTATGCAACAAGTCCAGTTTTGAAATTTTCTCACTTCTAAATTTTCCACAGTCAACTGTTAGTGGTACTGGGAATAACAGCAAGTCAACCACGAAGTTGTAGGCCATGTAAAATCACAGAGAGGGGTCGGCAGATGATGAGGAGCAGACTGAGCAGAGGTCGCCAACTTTCCGCAGAGTCAATCGCTACAAACCTCACAAACTTCATGTGGCCTTCAGATTCGTTCAAGAACAGTCAGTAGAGACCTTCAGAATGCATTTCTATGGCTAAGCTGTTGCATCCAGGACTTGCAACACAAAGTGCAATGCAAAGCTTCAGCTGCAGTTGTGTAAAGCATATCGCCACTGGACCCTAGAACAGTAAAGACACATTCTCTAGAGTGAGGAATCACGCTTCTCTGTCAGGTATTCTCATGGATGGTGGTTGCCAGAAGAACAGTAGATGTAAGATTGCAGTGTGCCAAGTGTAAAGTTTGGTGGAGGGGGGGATTGTGGTCTGGGGTTATTTTTAGTTCCAGTGCAAGGAACTCTTAATGCTTCAACATACCAAGATATTTTGGACAATTTCATGCTCCCAACTTTGTGGGAATAGTTTGAGAATGGCTCCTTTCTGTTCCAAGATGACTGCAAACCAGTGCACAAAGCAAGGTGCATAAATGAGTGACTATGATTTGTGAGTCCTGAACGCAAAGCAATAAAACACGTTTGAGATAAATTAGAGCGGATACTGTGAGTCCAGCTTTCTTATCCACCGCACAAACATGCTTCTGGAAGAATGGTTAAAAATTTCCATAAACACACTCCTAAACCTTGTAGAATGCAATTATTTCTTTGTTGCAACTGTGCTTATTGTCAGTAAATCTTATAGAGTTGGAAAGACTTCTTATTTCCCCTAAATGGTGCCACATTTGTAAGGAAAATGCATTTCTGGGTAAAGCAGCAGAGTTGACTATGTGGGTTGTGCCTATGAAAACCTGCCAATCTCTGCCAAAGCCAAACAGCTTATTCTGCTACTGACTCTTCTTTTGAAGATGCCAGGGACATCGCGAAGTGGGTGTCCCCAGGAGAGTACACCACAAGAAGAATCTTCCACAGTTTTGCAGTAAAGGTTTGCAGGAGGGTATGGACAAAAGCTCTCTACCCAGACAAGTAGAGGAGGATGGACTGACCTATAGTCTTCACTTCAACCCCATTGAACACTTGTAGGATCAGCTATGTATGTTGTTGATGTCAGAGTGACCAGCACAACTGACATGACTGACTGATGACAAACACTGGTTGAAAAATGAGATGCTATTCCACAGCTGGTGACCAGCATGAGGAGGAAGTGACGGGCTATTGTGGTTATAAATGGTTTCTCCACATCCAAAGGAGGCCCCTGCTTGATAAATGAATGTATGATTAAACTGCCAGTATGTCTGGTTTCTTCAGACTTCTTAACAAATCCCATACACAGCACCAAACAAGACTCAATAGCAGAAATAGTTCTCTGGCATTAGCAGAGAGCGTTTGGTCTCTTATTCGTGGGTGCAACCCGCAGACTCAACTCTGCTGCTAAACCCACAAATGCAATTTCCTTACAATTGTGGCACCAAAAAACAGGTGGTTGCTTTTCTTGCCAAGAAAAGTTAGTACAACAAAAGAAGAAATGAAATGTACTAAGTTTATATGTATGTTTATATCATGCTTATTTATGATAGCAGCAAATAGCCACAGTACTTAAAAAAACAAAAAAACCCAAAAGAAATAAATAAAAAGTACTCTGAAAGTTTTTAGTGATGTACTTGCACAAAGAAAGGTTCCTGTATCATAATATGTTTATATAGTCCATTTTAAAATGATGCTAACTCACATTTTGGCAATTGTTTTTGGCTGTTGTTACACTGGAGCTGCCAAGTTGACTGATAGAAAAAAGCTACACTGTTTTTCAGTGTTAAGATTGAGTGTAAACATTTACAAGCAATCCAAGTCAAGCTGGTATTAATGAATGTATCTCGATTTATCTACTATGTTTCTCCAATATCTGTTTTCAAACATAAAAAAACTGATAAAAGCTAAGGATCTGTGGTAGAATGGACCAAATGGACAGAAGTCATGCAATAGTCTGCGTAAAGCTGAATTAGCATTACTTGCACACTTGTGCATAGAAGCAAGGTTTAGATTTATTAATTACATTTACAGCTTATTTAACTTGTTACTGGGACCAGCTCATTTGATTTTAAATCACTTCATACCAAAATAATAATGAAATTATATTTCACACATCAAACATTATTTGAAAGTAGTGACTGGCTGACTCATGACAGGTCAAGGGAGCAGTGTACAGAAGAAAGAGTGGTGACATTATCATGGACTGGGAATCTGTGTCAGTCCACACTGTGGCTTCTTTTTCAATTCACACCTCCTCTTCAAGCACGCTTGCGATGACTTGCCATGTTATAGTAAGTGTATATATGATAATGATAATGTTGGGAAAAAAAATTAGAAAAATGATGATGACAGTAGAGAGAAAGGCCTTACTCTGGGTACACAGTCCATCTGTGCAGTTCTCAGTGGCCTCACTGTTCCCTTCGCACATTTTGCCTCGGTGTCTGGGTATTGGGGAGTTGCATTCCCGAGTTCGCTGCCTCTCACACTGACTGCTGCACACTGTCCACTGGCTCCACTCATTCCAGCCTCCATCAACTACAATATAGGGATGTAGATATCACAGAAGGGTTAGCACAAAGGCAAAACAGAAAGACAAAGACTGGCACCATCCCACATCAGTGATTGACGGTAAAAACTTTCAGTGCAATCACCAGTGACAAGTTAGAATGTACTTTGATTAATATTAAGATTAGATGTCTTAAGTGATTTCAATAAATGGTATATTTCAAATTAATGGCATATAATGTGCATCCTAATTAACTTTAATAAATAATACATATATAATATAAACAGTGCACTCGTGCCATTTTGGTAGGAGTTTAATTGGTTCACAATAAAAACCTTGTTAAGAAGTGAAGGGTTTCAGTCTATGCTAGGGGGCTATTTCTTTGAAACGGTAAGAGTCAAATAGTGCAGTAACATTAATGGAATCAAAATGAGGCTGCATAATAAAATTGTTCCTGGAGTTCCTGAAACAGCCTAATTATCATTAGAAAAAAGACAGGGAAAAACATTGTTATACAGGCTCAATCAAAGGACTTCTAAATACTGAAGAACTCAAGGGACTTTCATAGAGTACTTTTTGAGACAGTTCACAGTTTATGCAGGCTTATGATGCTTTAAATTGATTTTCTTTCTTTACACATTAAAACCACTTACACCTAAACTTTAAAATTGATCATCTTATTACACTCCAATGTTCTGTTGTCTCCCCAAAGAAGCAACAGCACTCCCTTGGCAGGGCAATGTACCGCACAACAGCAAAAAAAAATCTGTTCTGAATCAGCCAGTAGAATACAACAAGCCCACAGTAAGATGAGCATTTGCAAATTTTAATTAAGAGGTCACAATAATAAATACAGATACAGCTTTAGATTTTTATAGGTTTTTATTAAAGTGGTATAATAATATGTGGTATAATAATATAGCATAATAGGTTTCTTGCCATAGCACCATTAGATACTGTTGGGAATACTTTATGACACTATTTTAATAGGCTCAGGTAGAGGAGCAGCAGCAGAAAACAGCTGCTTATTCTACATATTTTTAGAATTCTTCTTCATTCTAATTACTTACTAGTTACTCTTAGCATCTAGTTACTGGGCCACTGAGGGCATGTGTCCTTAACTGACACAATTGTATTACCAGAAAGCTAGGATTTCACTTGGGACATATTATCAATACTGTATTTATTAAAATGCAGATTCAATTTTTTGTTTGTTTGTCTGCAAAAAGGGGCAAACGGATTGATTCAGTCCTATTTGTTGAGGACTCACTACTATGTTCCAGGCCAAATTGCCAACCAACTTTCCTAAAAATATGTTTCTGAAGAAATAAGCTAAATAAGCTACATTCTCAATGACATTGTTTGGTTAAAAAAAAAGTGTCTTAAATACATTTGACAATACTAAACAATATTTGCCATTTATGCGTTGGTTTATTAGTTATATTGATGATCATGTCTTCCCACGTCATGTCTTTGCTATGTATGTGTGGCCTGGGGGGTGTCCAATTTCACTGCAGGTGTAAACATTGTATGTGACAAATGAAAGGCTCAATCGATTGATTGATTACTTCTTATTTTTGATTAATATTTCTTTTTTTCAGAAAGTAGAGTCCATGCTATGGACTTTTTGAGGTCTCTGCTCAGTAAAATAAATGATAATAGATAAATATAGTCTGCTATAAAGAAAATAGGAAGTGACACATCCCTCGCCTGCCATCAAGCTCATCTTCTCTCTCATTTGGAAAGAAAGCATATTGAACAAAATGTCCATCTTTCTTTAAGATAAAGACTAATTTTCCCTTTGGTAAAACACATACACAAATTTAAAAATGTACATGTTTCTACAGCAAGCTCAACTAAACACATGGATTCAGTATGATGCACAAATACAAGTGCTGGTCTGTTGGTACAGCTTGAGAGAGACACTTTCTCCCCATTAACCCCAAGGCCTGTTTATATAATGGAGTTTCATGCAAGGCTATGAAACCAAGGCAGCCTGGTGCATGCTAATAGATGGGATTCTTCCACCATGCTCTGTCATCTGATCAAGGAGGGCCTCATCATGCTTAGCTTAACAAATACAGGGAGACCATATGGCGCCTGAAGATTTTTTGGCAGCAGCGGCGATACCCATAATACAGTCTTGTGGGCGATGAAGAAGGTAATTTTCCTTTGTGAAGTTCCACAGGCCCTACCTACACACTGCAATTGTTTGTGGGTTTTTCTCACCTACTTGTAATGCAAACAAGGTGTTTGTATGTTGGGGAGAGAACGCTGAGTGCTTCTGAGTTTGACCACAAACACTAGTCATTGTTTGCGTATTGTTTCCCCTATGACTTCTTGCTCTGATTCTGTTGAATGAGCTCATTTGCCAACTGGTAAACAATAGAGAGAGTTTGACAAACTGTAGCACTTGCAACATTTTGGCTTCATAACTTGCCCTTTCTGGTAATTTTATGTTGTTTTTCGGCAATGTCTAGTTTCTTAAATTGGCTACATATAAATTCTCATTCATTTTGTTTTGGTGATATTTTTAGAGCATACGTTTCCCTTTCTTTTTCAGTTTTACCAGATCTTCTGGTTGAACTTAATTACAAACACAACACAACATTTTCTTTCATTGAAACAGTTCTGTGTTTATCAGAAGCAAGCAACTTTTGAAGTTTTTATGAACCGGCAGTAGATTTAGCTTCTATCATATTACATAAACAGACAATATATAATACATTGATGTATAAATATTTTGTGTTCAGTAACTTGGATTCTAAACCCTGCAGTGGCAGCAGACTTTCAAAGCACGTTTGAAGAGAGATCATTTCTTAAATTTATTTTATTTTACAGTCAGGGAAAACAGTGGCTGGAATAACCAAAATGACTGTGACTGTTTGAATTTCTGATCTCATTGCCTTAGAAATGATTGCTTTAAAGACATAGACCAGGTCTATGACCACTCGTCTAAAAAACGGGATAAGAGGGAGTCAGTAGACTATGATGTAGTTGCTGAAGGATTGCAACTTGTGCAAAATGAGATGGCACTCAGTAAACATACTTTTAAATAGAAATTTAACCAGAATGCAACCAGCTGAGATGACTCCCCTACTGGAGAGACAATCGCTGACGAGTTGGGCTCATTAGAAAAGTACAGATTGGTTGCAGTGTGTTGGCAGTCTTTCTGTCTTTTTAAATTAACAACTAACCAGGCAACCTTCGTGATTAGTTTGCAATCAAAGGTGGTTGTCAAGAGGCCGAGGGTGCTGCAAGCCCAACCACTGGTGACAGTAAAAACTTTCAGTGCAATCGACGGGAAACAACAAATTTTGACTACTTGTAGTGAGGTTGCTGTCCTATTTTTACTCTAGTGTGTGAGCCATTAGGTACACCACCATAGTGAAAGTACCAAAGTATTAGCATCACTGGTTCACTTTGCAAATTTTTTATAATACAGAGGAAAAAGAGAGAAAAAGGCATGTATGTAACACTGTCTGACATTTAAGAAATTACAGTCACTGCTTGTGCCCGTTACAAGATAAGCTCACAAATTGCTGGTTTTCTGCTTAGTCAATGACAGATGTGAAAATTATACTCATGCAACATTACACTTGTCTGGGCCAAGAAGTGATGTGTCAGACATCTTCTGCTAAATAATACAGTAATGTACTAAGTGTTTACTTTGTTAGCAGCAAGTACTTAATGTTCCCTAATATTGGCTAACTATGAAAACTTGCAGGACACACCAAACCAAATGAGACCCAGGAGTGATTATATAAAAAGATGCAAGGAGATATTCTAATGACTTAGAAATGTATCTTGTAACTTAGAACTAAAATAATGATTTATATTTCTTTGAAATGATAAGGGTTTTCTTTAATTTGCCAAAAGTCACTGGCAAAAAGGGATTTTACTTTGATTTCATGTTTTTTTTCCTTCCCTATTAACATAATGATGCCATAGAGATTATATTGTGCCGACTTTCACCTAAATGCATAGTTATAGTAATTTTTGTGGAAGAATTCAGCAGTTTACAGCTGAATTTGTTGTGTCTCTTTGCCTCACATGACTAGTGTCTTTTCTAACTTGGAGAGGCTTTTTGAGTTGTCCTTGCTGGGCCACAGCTTCCCAGGTACAATGCTCAGAGCCTTCTGGTATTACAGCCATCTCCACAGTGCAGTTGGGGTCTGTCTTTGGGATTTTATTACCAGATCAACTTTTCTTCAGAGGAGAGCCTAGGGGATCCAGATACTCTCTGTTCACACCATGTAACCACACATGTGTGTCTTTCTAGCTGGGTGTACATGTGCATTATTTCTAGGATTGTGATGTTTGGCACTTTGTCCCATCAGATAATGTTCTGGATGCACTGGAGGTAGCACGTGTTATTTATTTTTATCCAGTACAGAACATTTCAGGACCCTCTGGTTTAGAGGAAGTGCATGGATAGAATAATTAGGCAGAGGCACTGGTATGAAGAGAATGGGAGAGTTAATTCCAGTTTGTATTGTATATGTATTGTTATTGGGGTTTTTTGGACTTCTTTCAAGTTTCAGCAGCCATATTGTTAACATGGTTAGCATTATAAGCTTACCTTTTTCAGGTAACTTATGGTAATGTAGGAAAGTTTTATATTGTTATTCAGCTGTTTTTTATTTTAATTTTACATTTCCAAAATAAACATCAGAAATTATAAGACAGGTTTTCCTTAAAGAAAATGCATGACTGCATATACTGCTCCAAAAGATATATAATGGTGATTACAGATTGACAAGGTACAACACAAACTCTATGGGAAGGGGTAGCCAGGACGTCAAGTCAGAGGGGAGATACTGTCACCCCCACCCTCAGAGAATGGGTAAACAAGCACCAAGAAAAATAACACCAGCTACTGATTGATGGAGATGTCACTCAATACTGCAAAACCAGATTGACCAACCTGTGCACCACCTGGACTGACTACAAGAAGAAAGCCTGTGACTCAGTGCCTAACACGTTGATCCTAGAATGCTTTGAACAATAGGTCAACAAGACTTGACAG